CTGTTTCTGTACCCGTGTCTATGCGTATGTGAGTGTGCCTGTTTGTTTGTGCATGTGTATCTGTGTGTGCGTAACGTCTGTCCAGGATTTTCTGCCTCTACGCCTATCACAGCTATGAAGTTGAAATTTTGGCAATATGGTCTGCTTCTATGGGTGGGTTCCTTACGTTTGAAATGGACAATTACTTCCCTCTAATACGTAAGTACGTTTATTTTGGCGGCGAAACGACTGCCGGAGCCAGACGAACTGTATGGTTGAAAATGTACAGAGAGTTTTCTTGTCCATTTGCGACCCAAAGGATTCAAATTCAGTTCTCGCTTTTTTTACAGGCATAGCCTTTACATTCTAGGTCTAAATTGCATACAAATCAAAGTTCAAGTTGGCAAAATGCCAACACCAGTCTAATTAAGAAGCAGTAATTTTGTGGCGACTGCTTACTACTTGCATGGTCATAAAATTAAATTGAGCTTTCGTCTGTTTGCATATTACTGCCATATGAAATTTAATGCAAACAGTTTTGCAACTCCGGAACTAAAGCAGTTAAAGTGCCAAATTCCTTTCACGTAAAAACAAGTTTCACGCTCTCTATAATTTTCATTTGCGGAGACGCACAGTTTGACGTAAAAGATTTTGCGATTTCTTAATCTAGACAGCTAAACTGCTGAATTCTCCGAGTATGCCCACGATTATGTTTACGAAAGTCCACTTGAAAGCTTCTCCCACTTCCCACCACATCTTACTTGCGAACGCATGCAATTTGATGCTGGCCATCCTGCAAATCCATAGGCACAGCGGCTAGAATGTTTGTGCGCATAGTTGGTGATCTTGTTTGGATAAGTGTGTGTGAAAATAGCTTTCGCGCTTTTTCATCCGCGTGCAGTACAGCTTTGTTCTGACAATTTTTGTGTGGTGGCCTAACAACGGAAACAAAACCGATAATAACACCGAATTTGACGAATATTTCTAGTTAAATGTGTAGGAAATCTGCTGCGCGCTGCTATAGGTTCTTTGAAAAGGCCTAAATTTTTAACTTTTTCCACTCACTATAGATCGGTTCTAGTCGTTCGGTAATTGACATTTTACATATTTTATGCTTAATAGCTGCTAATTTATTTACTTTTCGTGTACTACTTGACAAGTGAAAAAGTTTTTGTTGAAATGAATTTTCAACATTGCTTGAAGTAGTCTTCCTGCTGACTCTCTCAAAAATATCCGATCCACTCCCTCTCCCTTGCCCTCCATACTCTTTCTTCTTTCCCTTGCAGTTTAAGAAATCGTGGCTTTAGCTGTGTGTTGTATTCATCTTTAGAAATTTTGCTGAGCGCGAAATTTTCTATGGCGGAATTTGTTCACTTGAAAATTCTGCTGTTTTTGAACTTAGCTCTGCTTGACGAAAATCAGAGCGGCATTGAACTTGTAGAGAATGATGATTCGGTACATGCTGTGGAAAAAATGCAAGAGCTATTATTATCCAAATGCACTTCTTCGCGACATTTTTGACTATGTTTTTGAAGAAACTGCCACTAGCAGTCTGGGGAAGGAATAAGTGGAGGATTTGTCCGCCATCTCGAATTCGACATTTCGTTGTTCGTCTGACTGCTTAATGCAGAAAGCTTGAATTTTTCATTGCTTTTGTTATGTATTTGTTTGCGGGTCAGTGCGCTTGCCGTTTTGTATGTTTACGAATTTCAAGCAGTGCTTTAACGCCAAACCTTCTTCCGTTAAACAGACTATTCATATATCTTTATTTTGTCATTTCGCTTGCAAATGCCAGCGCACTATTTTGAGAATTCATTTTGTGGTTAAAATGATTGGAATTTGCTTAACGTTTCAAAACATGCACACATGCATGCGTACACACATATCCACATATACTGTGTTTTCTCATTTTCTTGCATTGTTGATTTTTTTTTCGATTTATTTCGCCAGAGATTTCAGCCATTGCGTTGTAGAGACAATAAGACCAAGCGAAATACATGTACAAGTTTCGCTGGAAGGATTTCGAGAAATCTGCTGCTCAGACTTTAAGATGCTCCGACATTTTCTTGGGCAAGGCTGTCAATCAACTCATAGGAAGGAGTAATCTCGAAAATGATACTTTTATGTGCTGCTTAGACAGTCATTGTTCGGCGTTTGGAAAACTCAGAACTGTTTTCGGTATTTTGCAGACTTTCTAGTCTTGACGGTTTTCTTGCGTCAACGTTTCTACTACTGCCAGCAGTCAGCTCAATTTCATCTCATTTGCCAGTCAGTCCTTGGAAGCCTGTGTTCAGTTATCAAGCCAGTCTGCTCTTTGAATTTTTTATTGCTCAGTTTTTATTTCCGTTTCAGCGCCTCTTTCTATGCCTCCCTGTGTAAATGATGAAATGGAAAAAGGATGTCGTCAATTGGCTGCTATTTGAGAGGCGTAAAACCAGCTCTTACCCAGGCTTGCGCGAATGATGATTTCAAACTGGGAGGGTTGCACACGTAGTGGGCACATGTTCCCAAAGTTTCAGCCTTCTAGTTTTTCTGGTTTACGGGTTGAAAGTGGTGAAAAAAGTGCGAGCACGCAGAAGCAGACAGATACGCACAGTCTCTTGTCAATATACGTTTTTGCATTTGCATATACGCATAAAAACATAAAAATTCACCTTCCGTGCACGTCTTACTCACGGACAAGTCAGAGACATTAGCAACGGAAAGTGTTTTCAGGAACCAATTAAGCTTCATAAGGACGCAACCTGCTGTGTGCAGTTTCAAAATCATAAAGTTAGCATGCGGATACATCAAATATTAGGTCGCAAAATTGTTGGCATACTTCCAACTCGAGAACCAAATCGAGCAGAAAGATGTATTTTCGTGTCGATTTTTGTTTCAGTATACAAACTCGCAGGCTGTAAAATGGGCATGGAAGAAATGACGAACAAGAACATGCCCAATATGAATGCACATGTCAAACCGCGAGGCAGTAAATGCTATTACTGTTCCTGTTGCTACAAAAAATCACGCAAGAACACGTTTAGTCCAAAAGTTCTGGTGCGGGGAGCTATTCGTTACGCATTTTTGCGGTGCAGCGCTATAGCAGCGTTTCTGCTACAGCCAGCAAAAACGCATATTGTTGAGAGGTTGTCTGTGTGTGCATGTGTGTGTGTGTGTGTGTTTGTTCAGAAGCGAGTGAATTTTGTCATTCATTTTCATCTCAGCAACGAGAAGGCTGGGAGGCTGAAATTTTCGGTATATGTTCCTACCTCGTCTGTCCCCTTCACGTTTTAAGGTCTTCCCTCACACGCGTCTTGACTCCGCGTACGGTCTTCCGAAAAAAATATGCGAATTTCACTGACGGGAGACGATTCTGCGAATTAGGTAAGGTACAAAGCTCGAACATTGCAAAGATATTCTTTGTACATGTGCGAGCTAAAGATTTCAAACTCGGTTGTTGCGCACGCTCGTGCAGCGCGTATGATCACGTCAATGTCTTGCAACTTGGTACTGTGCTAGCTCGAAAACTTGCTGGAAAACAGTGGCTGAAATTTTGTCAGCATGTTTGCCGCCCACACGGGAAATAGTACATCTAAAATAAATACCAAGCTGCACTTGCGCCACGACCTATGGCACTACAAAGACATTTGTAGCGAAGTGAATATTTTGCTTACCGGATAAGCCGAAAGGCTGAAAATTCGCTGGGATATTCTACTTTCAAGTGAGGCCTTAGCTGTGCTTGGAAGTAAAATTTCCTGCAGGTGGGCGTGAGAAATACTCAAATTTGCCGAAAAATCAGAAACGAGTGCGTTTAGCAGCGAGGGGCTGCCCTCATCCAAATATGTAAATGAACAGTTAGTTCATTTGCATGCTTGGATTTCTTGACAAGCGACCACTCTAGAAACACTTCCACTTTTTAGCGAACTGGAAATTTGCATTTTTCAAAAAGTGAGCATTTACTGAAACCTAGGCTGGAACGCACCAGGCGAGCCGGAGCGATCATGCGTTTTTGCACA